GCTCCCGCTCAAACCTCTCCGGCGTGAATCCCATGGATGTGTCCGCGGCATTGTCTTTAGCTGCTTTCTTTTGGCGCGCCATGTTTGGCCAGATATAGAGAAACGGAAGCTCGATTACAGACAGGTGGTAAGAACAATGAATGAGAACTGAAAACAACGAAAAGACGGAAATATGCCAAGCAAGCCGGCTTCAGATGACCTGCATCTGAAGAATAATCGAATAATACTGAGAATGGCCGACAAAGGTTTACGTTTCAATTGATCCCACCTGCCTCATGCAAAACATCTTGGGAGAACAGGAGGTGCTTGGCGGTGTGGCGGTGCACGGACATCGACTGACATCGACTGCATGTAACTGTGGCGCAAACATTGCCCTACCTATTTGGGACATGGAGCAGCTCCGCTATAAGCACCAGGGCCGTGAGCAACCCACGAGAGATCTCGGAGATATAGAATCAGGTAGCTTGAGCTTAATTATACGTCTGCATTATTACCTGGTTATGAAATGACTTCAATACTCTGAATAATCATTTCCCGGCATGTCAGATTGAAAGCACATCGGATGAGGTTCAATAGCACAAATGTCACGTCATCTTCCCAACAGGTGAGCACGCCATATTCGCATAAGATTGAAAGAAAAATATGCCATCGTTAGACTATCAGTCACCTAGCTATTTCGTCAACCCAATTGCTTCATCCTAGCTTTGCAAAATTCATTCCATCACCTTGCCTTAAAACGCCTTGTGTAAACACGCTCGGATCCCCGCTGGCCTCCGAGCGGGTATCTCCTCTACTGGCTTCCGCCCATGACATTATGCCAAAATAAACTTGTGAGAAAAACGAAAGAATAGTCGAAGAAAAATGCAAACTATAGAACGGGGTAAGAAGAAGAGAACCATCAAACGTAAAGTCATCAAACTCCTCTATCGCGTCAGTGTGGGGAGGAAATGCAACACTAATACCAGAAGTGCCCACACACGACTGATGCCAAAATCATTCATTCATTTCCAAATCGCATATTCCAAGCCGAAGGAATAGAAAGGAAAAAGAGAAAAACAAACAGAGAAAGGAAATAATACGAAAAAATCGAAGGTATATATGCAAATTCGGCAACACCTCTTCCACCTTCTTTACATCGGTGTTGCATAATCGTCATCTCCCATACCCTCGTCACTGATCTCTGATTCACTGAGAGGGCTCTGGGCATTACTGACGTCTGTGCTGGGCAAGTTGCTGAAGCTACCCAGAATGTTGACTCCGCCAGAATATGAACTGGGCATAGACATGGCAGAGAAATCTGCCATGCTGCCGGAGCGACTCATGGATGGCTTTTCCGGAAGTTGCTTCAAAAGGCCGGTTGAAATATCCAACATGGTCATGGCAAATTCCGTCAAGCCCTTGCTCTGGCCTGGCTTGCAGCTGACCGACAATGTCCAACGATATTCACCAAGTCGACGCCTATACCACTCTGCCTCTTCCCGGCCAGGTGATGTCGCCCACAGCAAAGATCCGAACGTTCCGATGAGGGCAAAGTTGGTTTTAGAGGCGAAATACCAAAACGACTGGATGTGATTCGGCATCAGTCGGTTGACAAAATCCATGGCGGAAATCAGGCGAGCCTTGGCGGCACTGCGGCAGATGTGTTGCACGTACGAGTCGACCGACGATGTGTTGGATGCCAGTGATCGAATGATGCGTCTATGGAGGGTGATTTCGGTTGCAAAGTATCCCAAATGAAGATAACCAATGCACGACAGCCTCCCCGACATTTTGCTTGCCGAGTACGAATCCAACCGAATATTGGTGGGTAGTCCGCTATACCACTCTTTGAGCCTAAGCTGAATAGGTTTCGCCAGTGAAAGGACCAGCTGTGTTCCTCCAGAGCCCGCGTTGGAGACGGTTTGCATGGCTTGCAGAGTATAAAAGGTGTCGAGGATCACGGAAAGAATCTCAGAGAGCTGCACGAACCGTGTAAAGACAAGACGACCCTTTTCTATGTCCTGGCGCTCCTCCTGGTCGTTCTCATCCCATTCGACATCGGGAAAGTCGTTGGCACGCAACGGTCGGACGGCCCAGTTGGAAGGGAAAATGTGAGAGGGTCTCCCGTGAACGAGAGCACCCCATTTATCTTGCATGTACAGAGCCCAGGCCAGGCGTCTTCGCAGCCCCTTTTCCCATGGTGGGATTTTCCATCCCGAGCAGTCCAGGTGGAGGCCAAGCTCTTGAGCAATAGCAACCAACTGCGCAGTCGGAGCCCACTGATCGCCCTCGGGTCGCTGAGACAGAAGCAGCCCGGCTTGGACTGTCGACAGTTTCGGTCGGTACATGGCATCTTCGAGGGTGGTGCGGACGAGTCTTTCTAATTCACGCACGTCGGGGCGGGGAAGCTTGGATAGTTCATCGTGATGATCCCACCAGTTGATGGCGAGGATATAGACGGCGGCGAGGATGGGTGGTGAGAACTCGCGATAGGATCGTTCATACTTTTCCATGAAGACGGTCTTCTGGATGATGGGCATTCCGGGATGGACGACTCGGAAATACAGGTCGATGAGTGTGCGGCCATGGGGGGCCACGATGGCCTCGATGGCGTCCAGATCCTCAATTACATGGTCGTAGCCGGGCGTGCTCTGGTCCGGCAGCATGAGAAAGGTGTCCGAATCGCTGACCTTGCGGAGGGTACCGCGGGCGAGAAGGCTCTCGTCATGCGTGTCAAAGGGAGAGAGGTTGATGAGAGAGGGCTCGAAATCTGTCGTGGGGCCGATATACTGGCTGTACCGATCTTCTTGGAGACCTAGCGTCCGCTTGAGCATGGTGGGGCCGCCGACATTGGCCATGTCTTCCAAGAATGAGCTGCTGGCAGCGGTGCTGGAGAGGCTCGAGTTGTGATTTCTGCGGCTGGGGATACCGGGGGAGCTAGAAAACCAATCATGTGTCAGATTGTTATGCAACGTGGGACGTCCTTTTGGCTGTGAGGGACAGGACAGGGCGGGATCATGTGGTGGAACGAGTCGAAGCGAGGCAATTCGGCACGAGGGGAGAGAGAGAAGGAGAAGCAAATCAAAAACAAGGCAAAGCTAAGCAAGGCCAGGCAAGGTAAAGCAAGGCAAGGTAAAGCAAGACAAGGTAAAGCAAGGCAAAAGGCACAAGAGCAATGATAATACTGACCCTCTCTTGACGCTTTCATCGGCAGAATCCCCGTTAAGCTTCCTCTTACGGGTCTGAGGGCTCGGCGACACTAGCGAGCATTCGGTGCCGTTGAGCTGACAGGGCATGCAGCCATCGTCATCCTCGGCCACGGTACACCTGGTGCCAGAGAAGCGACAGGCCTGACACGGGGGAGCGGCAGCCCCAGGAAATGAGCCGGAGTCGATGGATCCCCTGCCATGCAAGCTCGCGGGGCCTATCTCGAACCTGTGGGAGCTGTTCTGGCGGCGTGGGAGTGGGAGTGGCTCCGGCCTTGGAGGTTTGGGAGCGATGGCGATTGGCGCCGTGCGCTGGATAGGAGCGTCATGGGCCATGGCTTGGCCAGTTAGGATGAACCCGGAAGTGTCAAAGTATGTGCGGGTATGATAGATTAGCGATAGATACTACTAAGGTATCAAATGTATCTACTAGATACTCCGTAGCAGGTATGTATTAGGTGCTGCGTGTAGGTAAGTAAACTTGGAGATAAGTAAAAGCAAGCAGATACGGAACGCCTCTCCAAGCAAGGGCTTGCAGCTAGTAACTCCGTAATCTTTCAAGATGGATTGGATAGATAATAATAGCCGTACGAGCAGCCACTGAGGGAAGCGGGGGATAAGGAAAAAGAAGCTTGCGGGAGGCTGCGTGACAAGAGAACCACCCCGGAGATGCAAAAGTGATGCTATTCGCTACCCCAAGGCTGGATGAAGGAGGCTCCCCACGCCTGGCAACTCGGGTATGACGCAACGCGGCAAAGGCTGAGGCTTGAGTCCAATCCAATGCTGGACTGGATGAGCAACGGAACAGAACGAGCGTCTCTCGGGTCGCCCGATAACGGAAACGGCGGAGAGATAAGGGGACGACAAAAGCCAAAGCAACGGTTGGTCAACTGTAGGAGATCGGCCCTTGTATGTTTTTTGTGGGTGTCCGTGATAAGGTTGCTGAAAAAGGGCGTGGCGCTACTTGTTTAGTCCGAAGCAGATAAGGAGCACGAGCAAGACTGGTCGACGACCCGGTCGCTGGTACCCGCCAAGGACGGCCTTTTTCGAGCAGCAGGATGGGATTGGGGGACAAGAAGTAAACGGATGACAGCCAGACTAGGAGGAGATACGCGTTTGGGGATCTTCAGTTCAGGTGATGATGGTGGCCAGGATGAGATAGGCTTTGGTTATCGGCGTCATTTGTACCGGGGGTAAACCGTATATAAGGCTGGAGGAAGCACCACCTCGCAGATGTTTTTTTTTCTGTCCCCTTCCTAGATCGACTTCATCCAGCGGATTTCAGTTAGGATCTGGAGAGCATCGGGCCAAGTTTGGGCCGGTGAAGATACGTAAAACGTGGCGGTGGTATCAGCAGATGCCTGAACTATGTGCGAAGGATATGACAGATGATAGATGGCCAAGAGCAGCAGCTGAACGGACAGGCCGGGAGAGGAGCGAGATCTAAGAGGCTGGATGGGCCACGCCGCAGCTCGCTTTTTTTTTTTCGTTCCTTGTCGTGTCTCTTGCTTCCGAAAATGACCGATGCCCAGCTTGAGGGAAAAAAGATAAGTTAAGAGGGTGAGAGAAGTGAGAATGAGCGAGAAGAAGGACGTAAAGATGAGGATTAGACAAATGACATGTGCTTCCCCAGACCAGGGCTACCCTTTTTACCGGAACGGACCCAGTGTGGATGGATTGTCACACAAGCGATGGGACGCTTTTAGGCCGGTCCCTCGCCGATGCTAGTGAGAAGAGAGGACTCGGCTTGAGCCAACCCAACCGCGGCGGTTTGTAAAATGGCGTTTGCTTGGCGATCTCGAGGTCCGGAAGTGCGAATTAGGCAAAGGGGGGCCTGTTTTTCTCGTTCAATAAAGGGCGCCGCCACCGACCACCCGTGGCTAGAGTTCTAGAGCCCAGGCAGCTGTCCAAACGTAAGAATGATGATGGGCTTGTTTGCTGATTTTGGCTTGACCGTCGAGTTGTTGAGAAATGCGGCCGGCCGAGTAAGACAAGACAGCAATCAGCAGCAAATTCAATGCAATGCAATGTAATGCAAATGGCTTCGATGATGGCTCAAGTACGCAGTACCTGGCATGTCGTTCGCTAATCGCGCTGCTGGCGGGTCACTATTACTCAACGTCTTACCTTGTCTGCCCACGTACTCTGTACAAGTGCTGAGGCTAGCAAGTGCTGAGGCTAGATTCGTTTGGATTGGATGGGATGGATCCGTCGCTGAGTGGGATTGGGTGCAATGCTTGGATGCCTTCCAGACTCACATGTACGAGGACGCACGATTACAAAGTACGACGTCCAAGAAAAAATTGTACGTACGCAAAATGCTTCACATGAATCCCAGTGGCACGGCAGCATCCTCAATGCTTGGCATGATGAAAAACACAAATGGCTTGATCCTGACGTTTCCTACACTGAAGCAACCTGTTCTATTTCTGTATCACAGAATAGTCCCGCGTGCTCTAAAACTACGTTGACCAGTGAGATATTGTAGCAATCCCCTTTTCCCTCGCAGCATCCGACTCATACATCGAGCCGTGCCTGGAGCCCACAAAAGTGTCTCGGTGGCTTTTTGTGCGTGTTTCCGAACGCCTGGTTTCAGGTTCTGAGCTTCTGTCTTTCTCCCCGAGAGCCTAGTGCTTGCTTGCACGGAGTATTATCCCTAGGTATGCCTAGCATAATAACGGAGATGGGCCCATCCGCGCGTGCATGCTTACCAAAAGAAATTCACGAGAGTCCATCCGAGAAGTGCCACTGATAAATGAAAACTACAGTAATCCGTAATACCAAGAGATGAGAGATGCAATGCAACACCCAGTGATTTGCTCTGCCTATGATTGGTACCGTGTACGAGTGCTGTCACGGAAGCACGAGCACGAGCACGAGCACAGCTCCAAAATGTCTTGATGCTTCTTCCAATTAATTAGTCACCCAAATAAATCAGGGTCCAATGCATGCACCCATCTGTCGTCGCAAGTGGGGACGGGCGCAGGTATGCGATACCGACGCCGTTTCTGCTAGTCAATCGGGCCTTGCAACCTTGTCTTATCTGTGACGGATCAAAATTAATAACCGCTCGAGATAAAGCTGCGCTTGGCATCTTGGCCCTGCCTCGTACAAGGTACAACGCAGCGCCGGCCCAAAAGAGCGCTAGCAGTAATATTTCCGTGTCGCATGTACGTCACCGCCGGCCGTGCATTTTACCCCCTTGGGATGGATGGATGCTCTTCTCTCCACCAAACTGGAGATCGGATTCGAGTCAAGCAAGATCAATTGCGTTTTCGTGCTGTCAACGGGCCCCAAAACAGGCAGCTTCGGGAAGAGGGCGTCGGCACTATTAGATGCTGGATACATGATGAGGACCTTCAAACAGCGTGAAGCCTCGTCGAAATTTGCCGGTGCTGCCAGCCGATCTCTCTCTGTGCCGAATCGGGCCAATGCGTGGCGGTAGTGTAAATAAAATCAGCCCAATAAGAAGGAAAAAATAAGCAACAAACGCAACACTGCATTGGTTCCGCTAAGCAAAGAGGCCAAAAAAACACAAAAGCTGCTACTACTCCGTAAAGCTCGTACTATTACCAAATGGAAAAGCCTCGCTGCGACAGGCCTTGAATACCTCTCACGTAATGGCCAACGCCTGCGCTCAGCCCCCCGGTGCCCATCTCAGGTGGCATGTCACCACCACTCCATCTCCATTCAGATGTCGGCATATGCCACTACATCTTGATTCAGCCTCATTGGGTGGTTCTGGCAACACATCTCGTGCCGTTGGCGGTACAGGCACAAGGCAAGGCGTCAAGGCACGTTAGCCGAGCTCCGGATGTTGCATTTGCGAGAATTAAGTGACAAATTGCAATATACGAGTACAGCCGTCTGCCGTAGTTTATCTGTCTTCATCAGACGAGAAAACTCGCTCTTGCTTGCCCACCCCTGTTCCCCTTTTTGTTCCTCATCACTTTCATGCAAACGAGAGAGAGGCCGGAACAGAAAACGAACAACGAAAATAGCTCGGCTCATCGCCCCAAACCCCTGCCCGTGAAATACACGTGCCCCCCACACAATCGAACGAAACTCCCCGTTTTGCGGCCTTTTTGGCTCTGGGATATGATATTCCCCCAAACGACCGCGCCAACCGTCAGGTTTTCCCTCTCGTATTGTGTGCTTGTAATATCTCAAGGCCGCAGAGAACACGTAACAAATATGTGAACCGCGCGCGCGCCACATCTTTACCGTTATTGCTAGTACTATTTTCTCCGTGGTCCGTTCTTCGGTCGTCTCCGCGAACTCCTTCTTTAGTCAACGTAGCAACGGGCCGTTTTCTTGTTTCATTACCGGTGCTCCAATCAAGCCCATCGCAAAGTTCCCTCCCGCACGCAGCGTTGGATCGACCGCGGCCCCGAAAAAGCTCAAACCGAGGGGCCGTCGAGAACTTGTGAACTTGTTCAAGTGACTCAGGCGACGTCATCTGCATGAGGATCTGGACTCGATCAAGACAAAACTGTTATTCAGTCCGACAAAAGTACATCTTGGCTCTTCATTGGCATGCATCTTTTTTTTTTGTTTTCGGTGCTTGTTCCCCCCCCCCTCCTCCTCCCTCACGCGATCTGGGATGCAGGCCCGCAGCTATGATGAGATGACACTACGTAACGAGATTTCGCTTCTCCCGCGCTCGTCTGCTGATTCTTGACCGCACGTTTGACGTGAAATAAACTCGGTCGTTTCGAATTATCCCGAGCCCGGAATCGTTATTCTCCGTTCCCTCCATGTCTCGCACATCCCATCTGTGGCATCGAGGCCACGACTCAGTGTTAAGACGTTGGTGGCTAATCATTCAGCTGAACATGCCATTCCCCCGTGGAGAAGATCGATACGTGTAGACAAGTTCCCCCAAATCAGGCTATATGCCACGTGCATGTGGGGATTCCGCCCGTGATGCAATTCGTGAGATGCTGTGCAGCTTTGTTAGGCCATTGGCCGTGTAAGCTTGGTGTTTCCATCACAGGATTGACAAGACATGTATCAAGCCGCAAGGTGAATGTCTTTCGCTTCTATATGCAACCGTCATATCTATCAACACTTCTATTTCTCATTCATAACCTTGTACATTCGAAACTCCGGTTCATGATGATGCCGCTCCGATCTTCGGCGTCCACACCATGCACCTTTCTTCATAAAATTCTGTAGGCTCACTCGACCCTCGAGGCGGCAACATCATCGATAGCTCATCTCTGATTTCGAAACCCATCTTTTGGTAAAACGTAACTGCATTCATCGTAGCTTCCAACACAAGAGGGAGACCCTCTGCCGCGGCGAGTTCCTGGACCTTGCGAAGAAGCAATGATGCAGCTCCGCGTCCAGCCCAGCGAGGATCCGTGCATAGATACGTCGGATCTATCATTTCCATATTGTTAGCAGCCGATCAAATCCAATGACAATCAGTGAAAAAGACAAACTCACGATAATACGCCGCCTCCTCTCCAACAGCCCTATCCCTCACCCTCTCCGTCAACTTCGCATACGGATCCAAATACTCCGCCCTCGCAACATCCGGCCACTCCTCCTCCTCGACCTGCTCCTGTCCTCCTTCACCAGGCCTATGAACAAGCCACTTGACAAAACTCACCACCTCCCCCGTCTCCCCATCCTTCGCAACCAGCACCCCCTTGTCCCCATCTCTTAAATGCTCCAGCGTGTTCCTCTCCAGCCAGCCGTGAAAAAACTCAAGACCCTCCGGGCTCGGGAACTGTGCGTGCGTAAGGAGGTTCTCGTCCATGGCCCGCAGGTGCACCGTCGATACCGCCGAGACATCGGTTTCGGACGGCGTGCAGAGTATAAGTGACATTGCAGTTGTAGTTTTCTATTTTTGGCGGATTTATGTCATCAATGCATTCATCAAATCGTTCATTGATTCATTTCAACGCTCGTCTCAGCCTCTCCATAGACAAAACATCGTATACACAAACACAAATATCACAACTTGGACTCACATGCCCACCCACGCTGTCTGCAACATGTGGAAACTTCTTCATCCAATCAACAAAAAAAGATACGTACTCATGATCCACCTGATTGGCAGAGCTGCATCTGCCCCACCAAAATACGCCTCTTTCCAGATCTCCACTCTTTTCAACCCCCACGATCCCAAGCCATCTTCCCACAATCAGAGTCATAGTCATAGCCTGTATAATGCGAAAAATCCCGCTGTTCTTTCAACCAATGGATTGCGACCTTAGCTCAGCTGGGAGAGCGTCAGACTGAAGTTCCAACTTCAATCACCTGATATCTGAAGGTCGTGTGTTCGATCCACACAGGTCGCAATTTTTTGTCTTTTTGGCACTCTATCAAGCCGAAGAGTCACGGCAAATAAAATCAGTCAAGCGAGTTAGTGGAGGAGTCATCTATTCTATGTATTTAGAATGAATGATATACTACTTTTTGGTTCCCCTTGAGTTGCTAATGTATGTGTCTGTCATGGTTCTTTTTTGTACTGGTATGTATGATTCGAGTACCAACCAGCTATACTGGTGCCAACACTTATTTGGCAGAAATGCCCAACTCTTCGTAAAACGCCTCGGTGCTAGGCTCTCTGCCCAAAAACTCCTTCAAAAACTCCATCTCTTCGATGCTGCCGCCGCGTTCCAGCACGGTGTGGCGGTATCGTCGGCCTTCCTTACCATCCATCGGGTTCTTCTTGAAGAAAGAATGGAACATGTCCAACGAGAAGACTTCAGAATAGAGGTAGCCATAGTAGCCGGCATCGTAACCGCCGAGGAAATGACCGATGGTGGCATATCGGTTGCCCCATTCACTAGCACATGTTAGTAACGAGCGACACAATCAGGTGGAATGGAGAAATGGGGAGGTCATACATAGTTTCACCGGCATCCTCCGGGCCCTTGATGCCCGAGATATCGTGACGGAGCTGGTTCCAGAGCCTGCCATAGTGTATATCTTTAGCTTCCTCATTGGACTTCGGGCCATGAACGGTCATGTCAAAAGTTCCGATAACGAGCTGAGACAGCGCGCCGATTGCAGAATTGAGATGCTTGGTCTTTACCAGCTTCTCTACAAGCTCGTCGGGGATGCTTTCTCCAGTCTCCCAGTGCTTCGACAGCGATTTCAATACACTTGGCGTCCAGCACCAGTTCTCAAGCATTTGAGAGGGTGCTTCGACGAAATCAGCCACGGTGGCAGTGCCATGGGTATAGCTAAAACGAGATCGGCCAGCAAGGTCATGGATGCCGTGGCCAAGCTCGTGGAAGAAGGTGACGACTTCATGATGCTTGAGCAGCGACGGCTTGGTCGCGGTAGGCTTGCTAAAATTGCACACCAGGGAGGTTGAAGGGTAGCTTCTCTTTCCATCCACCGTGAGGAAGCCGGGCTCGATTCCAAAGTTTGCATAGTGTCCGTACTTGTTGTCTCTAGGGAAGAGATCAAGGTATAGGTAGCCACAGAACTCACCGCCCTTAGCGGGCTCATCCCAGACGCTGTAAATGATGACATCTTCATGCCAGGAAATGTCTTCAGCTTTTCCACTGGGGCTCAGTCGCGCGCGATCCTCCGGGCCGAGCTCAACAAAGACGAAGCCAAAGATTTCTTCAAAAATCTTCAGCATGCCAGCAAATGTTGATTCTGCTGGGTAGTACTGTGAGATTGCGACCTCGTCTACGCTGTACTCCTTTTCTTTCATGATTCTCGTATAGTAACCGGCGTCCCACATATAAAAGTTGCCATCAAAGGGGATGCCGCGCTCTTCATAGTCTCGCTTCTTGTATTCTGTGAGTTTCTGGACTTCCTTCTCACCTCCAGGGGCCAAGCGAGTTCTCAAGTCGCCCAAGAACTCGTTGACGCGGGTCGGCGACTTGGCCATCTTCTCCTCAATCCGGACGCTTGCATGGTTCGGGTAGCCTAAAAGTCGAGCAGCTTCATCTCGAAGCACCATAATCTCCTTGAAGATTTCGACATTGTTGTTTACCTAGATATTCCGTGTCAGCCAAAGATTATGATATTGCTTGGAGAGAGAACCCCAGTGGGCTGGATTCATACCTTGTTGGAATCCGCAATCATATATCTGCGTCTGGTATTTTCATGTATAGCATACTTGCTCAAGGGGGTAAAGTGGTTGTATTTGAATGTGACCTTCACTTTTCCTTCGTTTTCGCCGGTTCCCTTTTCGAGCGTGTCGACATCAATATCATCCTTGGGCACTCCCTCGAGCTCCTGGGGAGTAAACCAGACTCCACCCTTTTCCTCGTTGAGATTCTTCTTGCCCTGGATGCAGAGTTGACTCAGGCGCTTCTGGATCTCCTTGAAGCGTTCCCTCTTCTCCCCAGGTGGAAGAAGCAAGCCGTTGCGGATGTACTTTTGGCGTTCCTTCTCTAGGATATGGAGCGACTCTTTGTCCAAGTTTTGAGACTCTCGAGTGGCATAGGCCGCGTCCACCAGCTTGAACACATCTTCTCGCATCTTTGCTTCAATATAGAAATCGTTCAAGAGCTCTTCCGCCTTGGTGGAAGCTTCACGGAGGGACTCGTTGGTCGATACATGTTGATAAAAGGTCAGGATGTTCTGGGGGCCTGAGGAATCGTTGCCATCAATGAGGATGGGCTTCAGAGTGTTGTCGAAGGTGGCAGTCTCGGGAGTCACGCTGGCAACGATTTGATCCAAAACGCTCTTGCTCTGGTCAGTGCTCTTCTTCGCATCGGCCAGGATGGATTCAGCCGTAGCTGTAAAGACCGGCGGCCGCTGCGGCGGGTTTCGAAATTGCTCGGGAGCCATGCTGCTGGTGGTCAAGAAGCGACGATATGACGGAAGACGGGCTATTCCTTGCAGCCGTACGTGACTCGCAAGAGAGTTGAGGCGCAGAAGAGCTCGTTGGGAAGCCAGGGTTGCGGCGAGAAGGAGCACGAGGAGGGAGAGGAGGAGAAGGAGGGGCTTTATGGCACGAGGTCGCTCCAGCTCGATGACGGGCTGTCCTTACGTACGAAGTACAAGCTTGGCCGGAGGTTCTGACCCAAATTGGCCCGCTTGGACTGCAGGACGTATGACAGCGTGATGTTGCTTCAGCCTACCAGAAGGGCGGAAATTGAGTGCTGGTGAGGGGTAGGTAGAGTGATGCCCAGAGACGAGACAGTTTGACGCGGCAGAACGCGGCTTTGGGTCGAACAGTGTGAATTGGGAGCCCAGATGGAAAACGTTAATTGTGAAGATTGATTTATTACATTGTTATACTACTGTAGTATTGTGTTGTACTCGTATTGCATTGTTTATTTAGTGCGGATAAATGGCTGCTGGCTTCAGCCGCCTCTCGCCTCCCATGGGGCAGAGGCTGTTCTCATAATAGCTATTAGACTTTACAAAAGGCATCATTAATGCTAAGCTAGGCCGCTTAGTAGCTTCTTCAACGGCGCCGAGAACGCCGGATTTGTACTGAAGAAATGCCAAGTCGGTCCAAAGCAGCAAGTAATGCTATTGCCACCTATTGTACTCGTATGCAGTCAAGGCAGTTTACTGGCGTGGGCAATAAATTCAGTTTGGGCAGCACTACCACATGTCAATACCTTAAGCTCCGGTATTTGCACTTTGGAGTGACTCTATCCGGCAGGTGGTGAGCCGCTAAGCCCAACCGCATCGCGGGGTTGCTCCGCATGCAAAGGGGGGTTGAAGACAGGTTAATCAGCCATGCAATCGGAAAATTAGATGCCAATTTAACGGTTATAACAAGGTTGATTTACAACCTAATTGCAAGATACAGTAGCTACCTACGTCTTTGATACTTTATATGGGCATGGAACAATTTACTACTGCCTATCAAGGTAGTAGTCACCCTCACATCAAGTAAAATATTCCGATTCAAGAGGTGTTTGGTCGACTCATTTCATTGTGCACTCCAAGTACCAACACATATTCATATTCCACTGGTAGCAAACAAAGTCTACGGCCATCCCGTACAAAAGAAAAATTCATCAATCCCAAGCGTGCCCAATTTCACTGCCATAATCAAAACAAACACATAGCAACGCCATCCCGTTCGCAGATGCACTTAGATGCCACCGGGGGTTAGGTTCTTCGTACAAGGGGAATCTTAGTTGGCGAGGATAGTTCGGACAAGATCTGCGGAGAAAACAAGCGCACGGTCAGCAACCTAGATGTGATATATGGGGAGACAAGTGCAGGCAAAAAAAGCCATGCCGGTGAGGTTGTACCTGTGTAGTTGATCTGGCCAGAGCTGGTGTCCACAGCCTTGAGCAGCTCGTCGACCTCCTCCTCCGTCATCTTCTCGCCCAGGTTGGTCAGGATGTACTTGAGCTGGCCGACGCCGATAAAACCCGTCATGTCTTTATCAAAGACTTGGAAGCCACGGCAATATTCTTCGGGCTCGCCAGGGTCGCGGAATCCGCCGGGTCGGTTCAGGATGCGCTGGAAGGTCTCGAAATCAACTGTACCAAGGGGGGCAAGAGTCAGCACGGCTGCGCATTATCGACAAAACGAGAACGGGAGGATATGCGAAACCTACATTCGCCTCCAAGGCCCTTCTCCAGCTCCTGGATCTCGGCCAGCGTGGGGTTCTGGCCGCATGCTCGCAGCAGGTCGCCCAGGGAGTCGACGGCACAGCGACCGTTGCCGCGCTTGTCGAACAGGGCAAAAGCCTCCTTGTAGTTGGTCGAGGCCTGGGAATCAAACTGATTAGAAGCCATGTTTTTTATCTTTGTTTCTTCCTCGTTTCGTTTCTGAAAATGTGCAAATGCCGGGCTGAAGCGCAAGTCTCTCGAATGCGACCGGGTGGTGCAGCTTCTTTTCGCAGGAGAAATGGGGGACAAGCGATTTGTTTTGGGATATTTTGGCTTTCGAGTTGCGCGCAAAACGGGAAGCAACAGGTGCTGGCGAATCATGTGCGGCGCCAGCACCAGACGAACTCGAGCCGGCTTTGTTTACATCGAGCGGTGCTGGGGCAACTCACCATTGTGATTGGTGTCTTAGCTTTTGCTTTGTCAGATGGGACTGTCTCTGTGTCGCTGTCGCAAAGTCGGTTCAGCACGCGTGTTCCAAAACCGTCGTTAATGATGTCTTTCAGACTCAACAATGATGCAAAGTTGAAAATGACAACAAGAGGTCTGCGTCTCCTGACATTGATGCCCCACTGGGTCCCCTTGCCTGGTCCTGACGGGGCAACGAGTCAATAGTCGGCATCGCAGCCAATCGACCTGTCGCTTGTCGTGGAGGCGGTCTGTATAATTAGGCGGCATAAGGATGGATGATTTGCTGCCGTGGTTTATGCCGTGCATTGCGCCCCATAACAACGCTACGGTTCTGATTATGCATCTTCTACGGAGTAGTCTGGAGTAGTATTGCCGCTGTTCACCAAGAATAGAGCAGGACCGGGGTTTTCAAACAGCCTCCGTCTCACTGCCTATCGTAGAGTGCTGCAGTTTCCAAAACACAAGAGCGAGCATCACACCAAGGATTGTTAGTATCTATAGATGATAATAAGGTCATAAGAATTACACAGGGCATTGCAGATATACAGTCTGCCTTATTGTTGGGTATTTGCCTGCAGCTGAATATTGTGTATGAGCAATAACCTTACTGTAATGATCTGTCGCCAACTCTGTTTACACTGACGGGTTGGCCTCCTTGGACTCTGTAGGCCGCCTACCCTATAGCTCACTATGTCATCTCGAGGGTTTCCCCATCTTCTCGATTCGGCAGCAAAGTATTCATCTAGTTGCTACTCTGTCCGATCATGACAAATAATTACAATCTCAACCAGTTGTTATCTATGTCTATGCCGTTCATCCGTCAAATGTTACCTTGAAGTGCCATCCTGAGATAACCTCAACATGTTCCGACAATCAACCGATGAGGACTTCCTGTGATTAATCACGTCAGCTAGCCGGCTCCGGTGCTTAGAAATATCCTCATAAAGAATACTCAATCCCTCTCAAACGAATTATCTCACAAGTAAATACCTCTCCTCTCACAAATCACACAATTACAGGAACCATGGCTGCAGTCACCGAGGCCACGGCCAAGCGCTTCTTCTCATCTCCCTTCTTTGCGGTTGTGGGAGCTAGCTCCAACCCCGCCAAATTTGGTCACAAAGGTTCAACACAAGCCCCTCCTTCATGCCCTTTGATATCAGAGCATCTCACTAATTCGGTCGTTTTCTTTAATAGTTCATGCCTGGTATCTGAATCATGATCTGCCCGTCACTCCCATCAACCCAGCGTCCAAGACTGTCACGGTGAATGACGAGGATTATCCTACATTGCCAGATGTGAAGTCACTACCGAAGCCAACGGAAACGTCTGTCTCCATCATCACTCACCCCGGCATCACCATCAATGTCCTCAAGGAAGCCAAGAGCGTTGGTATTCCTGCAGTCTGGCTGCAACCCGGCACTTTTGACAAGGATGTTCTGGATTTCGCTCTGGCTGACGGAACTTTTGAGGCTGTTGTCTACGGAGATGGAGGCCGGGGCTCTGAGGGCTGGTGCGTCCTTGTTGATGGTGGAAAAGCTTTGAAGGATGCTGGAAAGTTGTAGTGTAGCTCTGAATTGCTGCTATTGGACGGCCAAACCGACAGAGGTCTTCTCAATTGAAATACTATCTGTGGTCATTATGCCCGTTATCGGACTCACCCTAGCGTGCACCTGTTTGGCTGAATGAGATTAGACCGAATGAGATTACAGAGGTGATGACTTCAATTCAAGAGACGGCTCATCTGTTCAGCTTATGAACAACCACCTATTTGCATATGAATGCACCAGATGCAATCCAGCATTGCACCTGTTGGCTGTATAAAAGCTCTCTATAAATAGAACACATTATAATTGGAGAAAGAGGGCGCCTAAATAAAATCGTTGGGTGGTATATGGGCCGTGTGAATGACATTCCATATAAAGATGGCATGGAGATTGAGATATAGCAATTGGTATGAAAAATTGTAGTAGATACTTGGGTAGAAGGCCAGACAAAGCGACGTTATGTAAATAGATCCAATGCCACGGCGTACGTTTTAAATGAAGACCTCCGGAAAGCCAACGTAAGTACATCCTCTATCCCCCATCTCTTATGGACGATGGCGGCTCAGTTCAAGATTCTCTGTTATACCTTGGATAATCTATATATCAAGTTACTCCATTCTATATATCTTATGCTTCTATATAAACTACATTAGTACCATCGTATCCATCTCATCATACTAAAGAAGACCGAGAACAATGCCTTTGCGCTCTACTACTATCGGGCTCTGCCATTCTGCGACTACAGCATCCTCAGCCCTTGGTCACCATCCAACCTACCGTTTACCTTATGATGGACTTTGAAAATGAAAGTTGAGAAAAGGAGCTGTGGCCAATTGTAATGTAAGTTCAGTTGTATATCCAACTTATTACAACCAAGCTCCTATTATCTGGTCAATGATCCATGGATTGCAAATTACAATGCCAGCCCTCCCTAGCGTGGCGCTTCCAGGGGCTTCCAGGGAGCCAAGCGCTGTAAGTTCAGTGGCTGAAGCCGCGCCCCACCCCTGCGATGGAAGTAAACAAACGCGCTCGCGGACCCACGTCACGATGCAGCGTCAAACAAACAATCAACTGTTGTCTCAGCTGCTGTCCATTCTTGCAGGCCCAATCTCGACTCGACTCCCCCAATCGAAGCCGAAACCTCGATATCCCACCTCTATCAGGTCTCAACAAAGTACGAATACCTCGCAATCACGTCTCGCAAACCGCCGATATACACCCAGTTGGCACTTCCTGAGATGCTGCTCTTGTGCCTCTGATAGTCGGTTAAGAGCTTTGCGCCCTTCGTGCCTGCGTTGTCTCTTGTTCACGCCATTCCGACACAGAACCAAATACGAGTATACAACAACAAGCTTCCAGCTGCTATCCCTCGCCTACGCCTGAGGCGATCCTCAACATGGCCACAGAATTTGATCAGTATTTTACCTACGAAGCCCGCCTGGCTTCCTTTCAGAAAGCCACCAGGAAGCGCGGATCAACAACTGGTGGCCGAGCAGCCAAGGCCCTCAATTGGCCCCATAAGCAGATTTCTATCGCAAGCGTACGCACCCTATTATTATTAGGTAGCGCATCGATGGGAGACGTGCTGACCTCCTCTGTAGCTTGCCAGGGCCGGGTTTGTGTTTAGACCAAGCCCTGATAGCCCAGATAACACTGTTTGTTTTCTATGCGGAAAGGGACTCGATGGATGGGAAGCAGGCGATGACCCGATATACGAGCACGTCAAACATGCCCCCCATTGCGGCTGGGCAATAGTTGCTGCCATTGAGGTTGACATTGGCGACTACGGACGAGAGGATCCCAACGACCCCGAGATGATTGAAGCACGTAGAGCGACTTTTGCGGACCGATGGCCTCACGAAAACAAAAAGGGATGGAAGTGCAAGACTAAGCAGGTTTGTTGCCGCTCTAGAAGATGAAACCTAGGAACTGAAATATCATGCTGACATCTTACCAGCTGGTGGATGCTGGGTGGAAGTACACCCCGACCGAAGAATCAGACGACATGGCTACGTGTACATACTGTCAACTGGCACTTGATGGATGGGAGCAGGGTGACAAACCTTTGTGAGACTTGACTATCTGTCTCCTGGCCCGTACAGACTGACTAACTGTCATCTAGAGATGAACATTACAATCGGTCCCCTGATTGTCCTTTTTTCTCCCTAATTAGCCAATATAGGGCGCTGGGAAAAGGCTCTGGACGTGGAAAAGCATCGCGCAACTCGGCATCATCTGTTCAGTCTTATGGGACAGCCGCCGCCGACATTTCAAATGCTAGTGATGTGAGCATAGGACCTGAAGACAGTGTTCTTACAACTGCGTCTTCGGCTTCACAACTGGACATGAAAAAACCCAGAGCAAAGAAGGGGGCCGCGGCAAAGGCTGGTAGAAAGAAGATCCAGAAAGATGAACAGTCTGAGCTGGACCAGAGTAGCCAGATGGAGGAAGAAACACAGCGCCCAAAGGCTAGGCGCGGCAAGAAGAGACCGAGCGACGCAGTGGAAGACCCGGTACTGAGTTCAACAGACGGGCCCATATCGAAAAAACGAGCGTCACGAACCCCTAGCGTTGGTAGCATTGATGGTGTTCACGAATACGACTCCGAGGCGACCGACATCTCTAGGGCTTCCTACAAAAAGAATGCAGCGCAGCCTCCTTCCAAGAGGGGTCGTAAGGGCGCCCCGAAGTTGATCTCGCATGCATCCATGGCGTCCTTACGGGCTCGCGGGGGGATTCCAGACGATGATGAGATTGAACGTGAGCTGGAGGCTGACCTGGATCGACAATTCACCGACGATGAGGAGATTTCATACGATTCTGACTTGTTACGAAACAAGGTTAAAGCAAATAGAACTGTGACAGACTCGGAGAATGAGGCTTTTCGACCCGCAAAGCCAAGGTCGCCTGAGTATGCCATGTTTGATCCGGCGGTGCCCGAACCCGCTGAGGATGAGCTTGATGACGAGCTTAAAGCCTTACAGGCTGAGATGGAGGTTGACGAAGCAGAGCAGCCCCCGAAACCTAAAAGAGGTCGCAAAGCTGGTGTGCAAAAAGGGGCAAAACAAGTCAAGGCCCAAAAGGTCCAACAAGAGACTGAGTCCGAATTCCCAGAGTCACAGCAGGAAGAAGAGGGAGTGGGATCGGCTGGCATTAGTGCGGGCAGCACTGCTGCTGGAAAGCGAGGGCGTGGACGGCCAAGGGCCTCGCTCGGATCGCAAGATGAATCTGCCACTCTTGATGTTGCTGAGTCGTCACAACAATCGATTAAGCGCGGACCGGGTCGACCTCCGTCTAGGTTGTCATTAGCATCTCTATTGTCCGCTGAGACTGGTGATGCCCCTCCTGCTGATGCCCCCATAAAGCGAGCTCGTGTTCGACCCTCAAATGCGTCATTGCTGTCACTAGAGTCAACGGGGTCGGATGAAGACATCTTGGCTGCGCCTGCCCCGGCACCAAAACGTAGGGGACGGCCGTCTAAAACCACTTCGATGTTACACGGTCCTCGCGATATCGCGGCTGTTGAGAAGAGCAAAGAGTCTCTTGCGCCTGGGAAGCGTGGACGCGGAAGACCGGCTAAGAAATTGGTCGAAGCGATACCCGTGGAACCTGTAGAGACGGAAGTCGAAGATGACTTTGTCGAAGCTCAGGAATCAGTGGAGGAACCTATGCGATTGCCTAGGCAGTCGCCAGTCCGAGCCATTTTCTCTCCTA